AGGTTTTTATTGAGGTAACATAAAATAAGTTTTAGGTGTGCATCACTGAAATCAGCAAGTGTATATACTGCATTAAGCTTACTACTAAATGTCCAGTTCCATTGCCCCTGTTGTCCTAAATACTTTGTTTTAAACCAACCAATCCATACTTTTCCTGTTCCAGAACTAAAGAATCATTCTTCATTAATGCTATTCCTTCTGGATGTTTGTGTCTATACAATATTCTTAGGATTATTAAACCCTTTCTGTGGTCATTACTTAGCAACTCAACATTATTCATTCACTGTATTTTTCTTAAGTCAGTCCCTTTAGCCTTTCATCATCTGTCTTTTTTTCTGAATCCAATCCAATTCTTCAAACTACATAGAGTTAAGGGCACCATCCCAGGCCCTATTCTTCAAATAATAATAAAAAAAAAGCCATATCTTTCTTCTTCATTGTTCTGGGAAATCATGCATGAGCTCCTGCCCCAGGCCACATTGTCAAGTGAGTGCTATTCTGTGTCGCTGGGCAGGAGACGACCCTATAATGAGACATACACTGTCAAATGTTCATTGGATGAATCCAGTGATTTTGAATTTGTGGTAACTGAGATTTGGGCTGGGGCTAGTAAGTCTAAGTCTGCTATCACTACAGTGATAGTTTCATCAATTAAATTAATAGCAGAAGCAAGTAATAAGACTACAAGTTACAAGTATTTGGGGGAATAATAATTTCAAAACTCGTGATACTTTATAGACATTCTTTGTGTTCAAGTGCTGATTTGAATATTGATTAAAAAATTTTTATTTAAAGTTAAATTTAAATTGTAAAAAATAACTTCACCTGTCCTTACATATCCATAATGTGGGCATTCTGCTAATTTAGAAACAGATTTTTTCCAAGTAGTCTGCTTTATTGTTATGTCATCAAATCTTTATAACTGAACAGAATAAAAGAGAGGAAATAGTAATACCTTTCTGTAAAGTTCAACAGGAGGCATGTATGATCCCCAGCAGAGTAGGCTCAGAAACATCAATTCTTTTCTGTTCCAACCTTTCATTTTGTAAATCTCGATTGAGAAACCACAACAGTCAGGTGAGTTTCCAGAACCAGCAAGGAATGGACCCAGTTTGAATCTGGGTCTTCCAATGTCTATGCCAGTTCTCCTTCTGCTGTGGCTCATTGCTTCTGCATCCCCAGGACCAAAGGCTTGCTGCCTTTTCCTTTTCTGATAATCTTGATTCCTTCCTATAAAGGGCACTCTGGAACCCCACTGATAGACTGAACAAGATGATGAGCTAGATGGGTGACCAGTGAGCCAAATTTCAAGGGAAATCATCCTGCCATGGTGGCCATTTCTACTCAGAAAACCAACAGCAGATCTCAGTAGCCTGAGAGCGTGACAAGCACGGAGCTATAAGAACAGGTAGCAAGACTGAAGGAAGTGGACGCTGTCATTTCCAGCTCTGCCATGCGTCTTTTATGGTGACAACAAGCATTTAAAATAGCCGAGCAAAATATACAATGTATGGCTCCACTAGCATGTTTAAAAAGTAAAGTAACTCACATTCAGAATTCTCCAGTTTTACGAGAGTCCTTTGAAGTACTGAGCCTCCACCATGGATGGGATTCACTGGGTAGAATTTGATAGAGTGGGGTACAGTCTCACCAAAAATAAAATGAGAAGTGAGGTCAAGTCATTGAAAACATTCCATTGCCACAGGGGAAGCTTTTATGAAAGCACTGTATGGTGTAATAGCTCTTTGAAATGATCCATTCTCAGATGTTTGCATAATCAGAGAAAATCCTGTTGAAATGTTTTGATAAATTGTACTTTTCAGTATCTCATAATACATTTAAATGTAAATATACTTCAATATTTGCCAATATCCAACAGAAAACTAGTAGTATATGGAAACAAAAGAAAGGTGAAGATAAAAAGGTACCTTAAGGGACATACACTCTCAGAATAGAACTAGAACCGTAAATGCCCAGGAAGTCATGTGATCAACCTGGACAGGCTGTTATTTTAGCTTCCTGTCTGCTAAGGTAAAATTCTCAAAACTGGACAATTATCTGCTGCTATGATTTTAGATTTTCTTGATCTGAATCTTTGATGGATATTTAATAAATACTGGCTTAAGCACTTCAGTTTTACTTTTTCCTCTGTTAAGTATTTAATGACCCGTAAACAAGCACTTGAGAAAATGCCACTGAAATGGGCCTTGTGTTTTTTCATAAGAAAACTTGCAAAATGGGATGCATTTCCCCACTGATTTATCTGTTTGGTGATCAGATGTTCAGCTCAGGTGATAAGTATCCTGTCCAAGGTCAAAGTCCTGTACAAGGAAAGAGAGGTCATAGCACCTACAGAAACATGTTGCTTTGTCTACCCTACCAGGCATGGGCCAGTGGATTCCACTGATGGGAATATTTGATGACCTCAAGACAGACTGGAAGGGGGCTGGAGGGAACCCAGAGATATTTTGCTCCATCTTCATGCTCTGCTCCTTTGAGCCAATAGGCAGTGCACACTCATGAAATTCACGGTTCACACCATGTTATCCACTCACCCATGTTAAGTGGGCCATGAAGGTTTCTGCTGGGTTCCTAGAAGACCCCATACTTCACACACCTGACATTTAAGTAGCAAGCCCACGTGCCCACCCCCTCACTCCTTTTCATCTGTTTTCATTATGTGTGTGCTCAGCTCAATGTCTATGGGCAGCATTCATTTACAATTAGGGGATCTGGAGTTGGAGGAGAAACAATCTTAGGGAAAGGAATACACCAAAAAAAAGGCATGAATTCCAGTGTCTAAAAGTTTGGGGAGATGGCATAAATGACCAAGAACATGAGCTCTAAAATCATAGGACTCTGCGTGTAGGCTAGAAGTCACTGACAGAAAGAAACCCATTTGCCTCCTGAGCAGCCTTCAGGTTGGCCAGTCCCCAGAACGAGGTAACTCACTTGCTTCACTGAAAGTGCTCTTTCTTTCCAGAATGCAATTCTGATTCACTTCTGGTATTGTCTCAGAAAAAAATCCTGTTGGTAAGTGCCTTATGGTGGCTCCCCGAATTTCCTGGATCTGAAAAAGTGAAGTGAAAGCTTATTTGCTTTTATATAATCAGATTCTTGGGAATTTAATCCTGTATCCTATTGATGGCTGAGCTAGCCATTCAAAATTAAAATGAACCTTTCATCCATGTGTATCATAAATGGGCATTTATCAGGATTATATGATTTTGCAATCCATCTGAATACGTAACCAGAATTTGTTTTCTTTCCGTTTCACTATGTAATTACCAAGCAACAATAACAAAAGTGACATGTTTGAAGAACAGATAAAATGCTGTAAATTGGCCAGTAATGGTGATATTTCCTCATCTTCTGAAAAACCCATTTATTCTCACTCTCAACAAATCAAGGCATTGTCAGCCCATACTCATCTTGTGGCCAGAGGGCCTCCACCAATTTCTGGATGTAAGTGAGTCCTGGAATGCAGATGAGGGCGACTCAGGAAAGCTTTCAGTGCAGGCAGCTGGTCTTTGCTTGCCTCAATTTCTAAATCATCCATAATGGGGCCAAGACCTCCCAAGCACTAAAAAGAGAGAGCTGACATGCTGGACAAACTGTTAATTTTTTCCCGAAGAAGCTGCTATATTGCACATCTGTCACTGCAGCGTAGACAATTACTCACAGGGCTGCCTGCTTTGAGCTGAGTTGTTAAGGGACCTAATGGAGAAATACAATGGCGGAACATTCACAGCATGCTGGCTTCCAGCATTGCTTGGCGATTGTTAGGTGATATTTAAAGGCTGTCCTGTGATATTAAAATATGTGAAGCCAGCAGAGATGCGTGGAGAGGAAGAGAAGTGGTATGATGAAAGGGAAGTTCTGGGAAGACAGGGAGACTCAAGAACCAAGTCTTAAGTTATGGATCACCTCACCCGCGGCTGAGAACCTGGGCACTCTGCCTTTATTTTAGAAAGATCGGAGATTTGCACCTAAATCTCACACCTTTCATGGGCTCCCAAGGGCTTCACACCCATTTCAGAATCTGTTATGTGAATTCCATCCGTGGTCCATGAAATGTGGATCATCTGTAGTTTCCATAGTGAATTCTAGTCATCAGTGAACTTCTGATTACAGGTGAGCCACACAGCAGCCCTCTGCAGGACCATTGTTCCCTCCCCTGACTTTTGAGTGCATCCTAACTACAAAATTCAGACATTTGAAGAAATTCACCTCAATAAGGAATCCATGAATTTGCTTGCTTTTGAAAAGCCTATTTTAAGTAGATGTGGAGTTAGTTACTATTTCGCATTCTTTCTGCTTTTATTAAAGAATGCTGTCTTCAGAAGAAAAATCACTGTATCTTGGAAATTAAATAGGGAAAAGAAGATGGGTCGAAAAAGTTTGGGGTCTTTTTTTTTAAACTTAGAATGCCATCATAATACACTCTTGCCTCTACCATCTTATAGCTGCAAAATCAAATAAAATGCTGGTGATTTATTTTGCAAATTCAAACCGAGGAAAAAGAAGAAACATAAAATATAGCTTCAATTTACTTAACTCCATTCTTGAGATAAAGGAGTAAAAACATAATATTCTGACCATGCAACAGGAGTGAGATCTGTGAATCTGAGAATGATTTAAACTGTGGGACAATTCAAAGACAGAAGACGACCGTAATGTACAGATAAAAGTGAAGTGGCAACAGTAGATCATCCTCCTGGCAGTTAATGGCACCGACTCGCTAGAGACAAATCTGGATCTACTTAAAGTGTCAGGTGTGTAAAGTAATGAGTCTTTGCTTAGTAGGAACCCAGCAGAAGGAGACTTCATGGTCCACTTGTCAGTTGAGTATATATTACTGCAAGCCTGTTAAATAAATGAATATTTAATACCTATAGGATTAAAAAAAATTCCACTTACCTAACAACTCTACTTAGTTTTTTGGGAGAAAAGATAAAATTTTATCAACATACAGAGATGCTTCTCATAGTAAGCAGAACTTAACATTTTAATGAGTATTATACAATATTTAAAATATCAAGCATGCTAATGAGATTCAACTTTCCAGAAGGAAATGGAATGACTATAACACGATTCTAATAGATATTTCAAATGGCCACAGAGAACTTACACTTGCTGCTTAGCAATCATAGAATCTTTGAGAGAAAGAAACCTTAAGCCAGTCAGTCCAGACCAACTTCAGAGAAAATATGGCAGAATAGGTCACAATCACCTGTTTGTTAGTACCATTGTGAGTCAAATGTTTATCAATTTATTCTCGAAAGTTTTTTTTGAAAATATTGAAATTTTTCAGGGCTTACAGATTAACAATGAATTTGACTGCACTGCTAAATGTTAATTGTCAACAATAGTAACTTACAAAAAGTTAAGACACTCTCACATTTATTACTTTAAGAGGGAAACATTTAAAGTACAAAGAGACAGCTTATAAATAACATTCTTAAACATTGCTTTAGTCTTTCTTTCTTTGTTGTACTATTAATATAACTTTCTACCCAAAGGGGTAAAAAAAAACTAAGGAAAAAGCCCAAAATATTCTTTGCTAAACAACTTCATTTCACAATACCAATTCAAATTACTTTTTTTTTTTTAGAAAGACAAAATACAGGAGGAATTGGTTTTTTAAAGCATGTCAACAGTGATTTTTCTTTTTCATGAAAGACCTGCTCAAAAAGAAAATGGATTGAAGAGAAGCAATTGTCAGTTGAATTAATTACATTATCAATTCACAAGTTTAGAATAAAGATATTATTAAAATGCAAGATTTTGCAATCATGTCCAGTATATTACACACACATGTGCCCAGTAAACACACACACATGTGGACCTCCTGCATGTCTTTCACCTGCTCTTCTGTCTTGGAAGCACAGTATGAGTTGCAAGTGCTACATATTCAAATTCTGACACCACTCAATTGAACATTTTAGTTAGTAATGGGTATCATATAATTAAAAATAAAAGCAAACAAATATGAAGGGAATGTAGTCTCAGAAACTGTATTTGGGGAGCAGGGAGGGGACACCAGTACATAACCTGGTCAGTATCAAGTATATAAAGCCAATAAAGAAAAAAACCTTGAATTACTAATGCTTAGCATCTCTTGGCTATTGCTGCAGAATGGATACTTTTTTTGACTAGTCAGGGAAGAGACCTATGCAGCCTCTAAAATTTTAGCACAACCAATTTGTTTCATATGAAGCTTTGCCTACAGTAAGAAAAGCAAATTTTGAAGGAGCAAACTCTTACTGTCTTTTTAAGGAGATAGACAACATACATTCTAATTCATGAGTTCCTTTGGATGCTTTGGGTTTTACAGTATATTGATAGTAGTATGAACCACAACTACATAACTAAAATAGTGGACTGCTTATCTTATAAGGTATTTGATTTACAACAAAAATTCCTATTTTAATTGTGTTAATTTCTCTAGTAAGTTCAGGTACAAACAGAACATCAGGGCTGTAGTGATTTTTCTTAAGGACTGAAAGATGAAGGGAGGGATTTCCTTAGGGTGTGTGTTTATGGAAGGGGTGGAGAGAGCTTGGGTATTGCCATTTCTCTACTTGGAGTATTGATCTATATAGTTCATCTTGTTAAACATGTCCATAGAGTAAAAATAAGTATTGAATCCTCTGTGGGTCCCATAGAGGGCTCAGGTTGTCAAGATGAAGACCTTTCTTATATTAGCTAAAAATTTAAAGATGAATGTTTGTGTGTGGGGGAAGGGTATTAGCAAGACTAAAGCTAAGCATCTCAGAGGGGTGCTTCAGAGATCAGTCCTGTCCAGAGAGGCAACAGAAATACTCATAAAGCCAGCAGAACTTAACTAACAAGTTCCCATGCCCCCAGTAAATCTTTCACTCTTGATCACACCCAGGTTCAGCTCAAGGTGAAGTGGAAAAGAACAGACAGTCCCCAGTGGTTGGGGACCAGTCTCACAATGACTTTACCATGTTACCAGCGGCTCCAAATTTGGGTTCTCAAAATTCTCATATTTTAGAAGATTTTTTGAAAAACAATCTTTTGAATAGAGCACTATGTACTACCCTGAAGAAATTTTATTTATTTAATTTTTGTGTAGCAGAACTGGGGTATAGGCCAGAAGTGTGGGAGTGACACACCAGAGACAGAGTGGGGAGCAGAACAGGTGGATTTACTGAATTCAGACCTGAGGGGAGCAGCAGGCAAAAATAGCAGAGATATGCTGCACCTTATTAGCTCCCTGGCCAGGGATCAAACTCAGGCCGTAGAAGTGATAGCGCTGAGACTTAACCCCTATGCCACCAGGGAGAACCTCCAAGAAGAAATTTTAAATGGGCATAGAGACAACTTCCCCTCCCCACCCCACCAGATATTCCCCTGTGATGAGCATTTAACAGAAAACATTGTTTAAAAAATGGTAAATTTCTAAGTAACCAACTTGTCAAAAAATAATCATAAAACAGTGTTGCTTCAACCAGTAAGTAAGAATGTGTCAACAGGGCAACTTATCCAGTAGTTTCTATTCTCTTAGCCAACCTGTACCACGAACCCCTGGGAAAGAAGATAGTTCTTGAAAGAAATGTGTGCTTTTGGGAGAACTTCCAGTCCTTCAAGTAGAGGGCAGTCCTTCCTCTGCCTAGTTGACTGTAGGCTCACCAGGGGACCACTTGGGAAAGGCCTGTAATACCCACAAGCTTCCTCTACTCCCCTTTCTAAAAAGTAGGGCTTAGAAAATTTTAAAAGCCTATAGGGTAGAGCACAGAGGAATTTTCAGGCAGTAAAAGCTATTCTAAATGCTGCTGTAAGGTGGCTACACGCCATTTCACATTTGTCCAAGCCTACGGGATGTACCACACTAAGAACTGTGGACACTGGGCCCACGATTGTAACAAATCAGAACAACCTGTCAATCATAATAAAGGCAATGCCCCTCTGTAAGGGGAGGTTGATGATGGGGAAGGCTGTGTAGGTGTGGCAGGGGACATATGGGGAAATGTTCTTACCTTCCTTTTAATTTTGCTGTGAAACAAAAACTGCTCTAGAATAAATAAAACCTTAAAGGACAAAACTATTAGAAAAGTGATTCATGTGTTTTGTCTTTAGTCAACCTTAATAAAGGCCACAATAAGTAGAGTATTATTATTAGTTCTTACGAGTGAAGGTGATAGCTAGTCAACATCCTCTAAACTATGAGCAATTTAGAACCTCTGCCATCAGGAAGCAGATGATTCAGAAATAACAATAGCAGGCACATGACAAAAATGACTTGTTTTACAGCAACTGCTCAGATGCTGGAAAGGCAGATCTCTACCATTCATTTTCTTGTTCACCTTGGGAATGGGCTGGATCATGCCAGGAGTCTGAATTCTTAGGAGAGCCATTTAACTCTTCAAATAAATGGATTCGATATTCTCATAATGTACTCCAATAGTTAAAATTTAAAATCAGTTTACTATAGTTGAGTTGATTTTAAAAAAATATCAACCTTTGGGAAGTGAGAGGTAGAAATGAGTCTAGATTAATAGAATTTACACTTCAGTCATGGTGAATTTAAAAAATACATCTTTCTCTCAATAATTATTTTATGCTCTAAATGAGGTAAAATTTGTAAAATCTGCATTAAAGTAACATGGAGGGCACTCTGGTGAGAACAAGGATGAGGTTTATTTTTGTTACAATGTCAGAGGGAAACATTAATTGCTGTTTGTCAGCTGTGAACTTCATACTACATTGTCCACGGATAGAAGATTAATGGGTAATCACCCATTAGAGAAGCTTCACAAAAAACCAAACTCAGGAATAAGACCTACCAAACCAAGATTTGCTTAGACTCCATGGATGTGATGGTAGGACTCTTGGGTTACAACAGGTGGGGACAATGGGCAACATCCTTCCTGGCCTCTCCCATTGTAAGACCCTGTGGCTATGTGTGCCCCCAGCCACCCAACACCACACACAGGTGACTGGATTGAGCTACACAGTGAGAAATGACTGACACAGGAGATCAAAATAAATAAGGGCAACAAGCTATTCTTTACACCTAAAAGTAGCTGAAATTTTTGAAAAGGTTTTCACTTTAGCACCATGAAGTATGATGAAATCCCATTTCCTTCTCTGTGACAGGGCCAGATGCAGTTGGGAAGCCAGGGCACAAGCTGGAGGCCGCTCCATGACTGCTTCACAAACAGAAGCTCTCTTGTAGTTTCAGAACAATGGGGCCTGTGTAGCCAGTAACAACTGTACAATACGGCACTGCCTCTTTGCTTTCCTTCTCAGGCGGATTTTCCTGAATTGGGGGTAGTGGTCGCTGGACTGCTTTTTGGTAGAGGAAACCCAAGTCCTAAGCCCTTTGGCCTCTGCAAGGCTTGGATGGGCTCCGCGATGCCCTTGCCATCTCGTCCAAGGCCTGATCCTGGCGTCCAGCCCATGTTCTGGAGCATTCTATTTCCAATGTTGTTTTCTAGAATTGGCTGGGCATTTTCTCCTACAAATCCTGAAACAATAAGATGACACAACATTAGCACAGGTGTAAGTGAGGATGCGCTCAGGTTAAGAAAACCGTATCTTCCCAAGTTGTTCTTTCAACGGGGAACCAGGGAGGGTTGTGGGTTCCTGTTTGCATAAGTAGTAGCTTGTGTAGTAGAGGCAACAATAAGAATGAGATTTTGGTTAGAGAGGAGTTTAGTAGCTGATTACTGAACTCCTTGGGGCTTTTGTTTTCTCATCTGTACACTAGGCCTAATGTGAACATGCACTGACTTAACACAGACAGTGTTTGCCCACGATTCCCCCTGAGGTCTCCAGGGAACAAAGATGCTCACTCTTCAAAGATCTGCGGGTGCCTGTGGATTATCAGCTCAGCCCTGGATCTTTTATATTTCTGTTCTGAAGTGTGGGCTATCTTCCCAACACTTTCAGGATTGAAATAAGTAATTGTTGACAAGATCACTCATTATTCTCAAAGGTGTGTGATTCAGTTATCTTGCTGGCACCAACCCACATCTTCCCTTTACCCATTTTCCATCCTCCTCAGTTTTTCCTCCCTGATTGGGGATTATACCAGGACCTTCTACCCTACCCCCAAGTTCAAAAAGTTGGGGCTCTGTTCTTTTCCTTCTCTTAAGACTACGCTTGGGAATGATCATATAAGGCCCAGAAGGATCCTCAAGCACCAGAGCCAGCAAAGATGTCCCAGATGGGACCACAGAGTATGGCCATGTCCTACCGTATGACCACATGGGGGTGGTTTCATAAATGGCCAATTTATGATTCTTTAAACTGTAAGCATTTCCAGGCATTCCCTGTATATGTGTCTTAAAAATAAAATAATAACAGAACTATCAGGGTTGAATCTATAAGTCACCAAGTAATTTGTATCTGACATTGTGGGCTGCCTCTTCTGACTGATAAAGGAAAACTGCAAAGTGGCAGAGGTGAGTTTTCATAACTGAAACTCACATTTACTACGGCATCATCATTAATTGGTTGTCAAGTCCACTATTGAACATTTGGTAGTGTCAATCTTCAGTGCGTTCTAGAGTCCAGATTGCTACCATTTGCTAATAAATTCATTACAAGGAGTAAGAACCAGGTTACCACAATAATGACCTGGCTTGGGATTTGTCAAATGGGCTCTTTACTCATCAAAACAAGACCCATATCATAGAAAAAACTTTCCCTTGCCAACCGCTTGAACAACAATGGTGGGGGGGAGGAGGAGGGGAAAGTGTCAAAGAAAAATTCTTGATGCACACTGTTTATTGCTGGACCAGGGCAAAATCTGCATATACCGAGATTTTTATCTCTAAAATAGAAATATAGAATTTATAAACAATGAATCTCTTAATTTCAACTAAACCCAACAAAGAAGAGCCCTTTGTCAAAATAACTCTTGCTTAATGTAATAACAAAAGCAAGTAAGTATTTACCTTGAAATTATGATTATGGTGGCAACCGAGACCACAGAGGTATGCAGTTTTTTCCTAAGAACTGTTGATTAGGTTTTTCAGGTGAAACAGTGCACGTGCATTTTTTGTCTGCTACTTTAGTGATTGCTAGCAATTAATTAAATTCCATGTATAAGTTAAAATCACATCAGAGGTCTAATGCTGCAAAACTACAACAGCTGTTTAGTCATTTTTGATATAAGAATGGGTAAAAGTTCAGGTGTAAAATTCAGTTAATATTTAAGAAAAAATATCAGGCTGATATAGAACATCTCTTCAAGAACTGCTAAATTCTGCTCAATTCTCAATTTCTGAAGTGAACAGCATAGGTGACTAATTCACTATCCAAATGTTGATTAAAAATATTGGTATTTCAAGCATGGGGGCCCAGGACAGGCCTCGCTGCTCTGCCCACATCTGTGTTTTTATGTTGGAAAAAAAAAATCCACTCTCTCTGCTTTTAATCCTGGCTTCATTTTTCTTCATGCTAAAATTCAATAAAATAAACCATTATCTTTTAACTTTGATGAAAAACAACAAATAGAAAGTGGGGCACTTAATTTTTCCAGTGCTCCGTCTTTTCACACAGAAATGAGATTCCTGAAAAACAAAACAATGGCTTTTCCATACAACCTTAAACAAAATAACAGTGACTGTATTTTTCATGGAAAATTATTCTAGAGGGAAATCTGCTGTTGGTCTCTCATCCTTCCTTTATGAGATTAAGATGTGGGAGTGGAGCAACGCAGGCTCAGCACAGCACAGTACAACCATAATTTCCTTTTCTTTGGCTCCTGGCAGTGCTAAATCCTTTAAGTCCTTTCCTAGAAGGCTCTCCTCCTGCTCAGGCAATTTTAGTGATATGCAGTGGGCTAACCCTTCCACAGCACAGGCTCCCAGCCCTCTCCATGCTGGATCTCTTATATCTATTACAGCTGGGTCAGTTCTCGCCCCTCAAATCTTCCAAAGAGTATTGTGGATGGCAATTCACTTGCGTAATTGGCTCAAGAGATGAAAATCTTGTATCGGCCTCTCTTAGCTGCTAATCTATCCAGCTGACTGCAAGCCTAATTGGCAGCTTGTTTAGTAATTTGGCTCCTAAAGTGTTGTATTGATGTTGGATAAACAGCCGATGGAAGGGGAGGGGACACATGCTGCTCCCCCATCACAGACAGTGCAGGCTCAGCCCAGCCCCTACCCTGTTCAGGAGGCATTGTGGGGCTTAAGCTCACCACTCTCTCCCATCCTCTCTCCCCATCACTTTTTACTAGCCAGCTGAGGAGAGGGGCTATTACTATTATCATCAATGCCATTAAAATGGTGTGACCATACTGTCCTCTGTGTTCAGTAACTACTGGTAATTTAGCAACATGGGTTTTTGACTTCTGATCAGAACTCAAGCATGAAGAACAGCTAGAGAAAGTGGTAGGTGATACCACTGTCAAATATTTTAATGATTTCATTTCTTAATACAGAAAACCTCACTAATTTTGTCCATTCTACATTTTATCTGTAATGATCACAGGTCTCCTTCATGGAATTTTGTCATAACCATTTGAAATAGTTAATTGCTTTAAAAAGGCATGTACTTTTTAAATACTGAAAATTTAATGCAAAACGAGTTTCCTTTTAAGAGATGCAACATTTTATTTTTATTTTATTTATTTATTTATTTTTTTATTTTAAGCAGCATGAAAGATGTTGGATACAGAAAAACATTTCTTCTGAAACAACTATAAAAGAAAAGCATTTGCAAAAAAACTAAAAAAAAAAAAAATATTACAATAAGACTGTTCTGTTTCTGGAGACACAGGGGGTGTTTATTTGTGTACTATTATTGGGACCATGTACAATCTGCCTGTTCTGTGCTAGGCCCTTAGCACACTGGTAGGCACACAGCATCCATGGTCTCTTGTCCTCAAGCTCTGACAGATGATTGGTGTTTCCATGGCCATTGTTTCTTTGGATCTTTATCAATCAGAAGGGCTCCAATCAGTTCCATTTTTCAGCTGAAATTGGGGTTTGAGAAAGTGATGGACTTGGTCTAAATTCAGCTAGCTGGAAATTGTCTCTGTTAGTTAGACCTTGAACTCAGGACAAATGTTACCGTGACTGAACAATGAACTTGAAATAACATGTGACCAATATTTTTGATATGTCTTTCTTCTGCTATATTTTCCCAGACGACTTAAATTTTTTTTTTTTTTTCACAAATTTCAGACTACTGGAAAAAGAACTAACCTTCCTTAGCATAGCAAGTCTGTCCAAAAAGGGTGTTCCAATTCTCCTGAAATACCTCAAGATCCATTTTGTTTGTTATAAATACAGCTACTCTAGCCTTCTATGTTGGATTATAGAAATTAAACAACTTATGCTTTCATTACATTTACTGAAAATAGGAAATATTGAGTTTTGTTCTTTCCTCTATTTTGATAATCCCTGAATTTAACTGATACATTTACTCCATTTACATTTATTGTGATTATTAATATATCTGGATTTATTTTTAATGTATTTAAGGCTATTTACAACTTGCTTTTAAAATACATTTTTGCTTCCTCCTATTAGCATCTATTGCTAGTGTTAGCTTGACAATTACACATTATATTTCTATTCTTTTGGTGATTGCCTTTAAATGTGAACATGCTAACCTATTATTCCCTAGCATTTTATATATTATGTTTTTTGGTTTAGTTCCTTCTTTTATACATCCAAATTAATCATCTTCTCTGTCAATTTCACCATCATTTTTACTTTTATCCATTCAATATTAGTTTAGTTTTAAGTACAGGATCATTAATTTCTTTGCTCATAATTTTTGATTTTCATTCTTTTTACGTGGGTTCTGTTTTTCTAATGAGGTATTAAATTTCGTAATGATCAGGCTTTACCTGAAAATGTCCTTATTTCATCCTCACTTTTTGGTAATAGCTTCACTGGATATTAACTGTAGGTGAATTCAGTTATATTGTCTGAGCACTTTAAAAATATTATCTCCTATCTTCTAGATTGTACACTGCGAGAGGTTTCATTTCATTGCTCTTAACTTCTCCTTGCTTTCAGTATTCTATAGGTTTATCGCGATATGTCAGGCATGACTCATTTAATATGAATACAGAGATTCATGTTTGTCTTCAATTTTAGAAATTGTCATTCTCTCCTTGATTATTGCACCACCATTTTCTCTAGTACTTCTAGGAGTTCTAATTAGACACATGTTGAACTTTATTTAGTTGCATGTTCTCCAGGCATTCTTTTTATATTTTCTCTATTGACACGTCTCTGTGCTTCTCTTCAGTTTTTTAGATCACTTTTAAAATTAAGTTTCTTGGCTGTACACATATTATTTGTTGTTTAGCCCATGAGTTTATGATTTTTCATAATAAATAATCTCAAATTTCTACTCAGTTCTTTACCACAGTTTCTTTTTTTCTGTATTTATTTCCTATCATTTTTAAAATCTATTCTTGTAACTATATATATATATTTTTTTTTTTTTTTTCACTTTTGGTTTGTGAGATTGTCTTCAGCAGGTTTCACTTTGCGG